CCATATAGCTTTATGCCTGGATTCTTCAGGACAGCATACTGCTTTTAGATTCACCTGTGTTGCTGTGTGTACCTTGAGCTAATTCCTTTGTGTTGCTGAGTAGACTCCCACTGTCGAAGGAGCCCTGGCAGTGCCATGGTAAAACCTGTGTCTGCTAACAGAAAGGTTAGTGGTTCTAACCCACACAGAGGCTCTGTAGGAGAAAGGCCTGGCACTCTGCTCCCCTAAAGATTACAGTCTAGGAAACCCCATGGAGCAGTTCTGACAAGAGGTTGTGAGTCGAAATTGACACAATAGTCCCTGACAACAATGTCAGCATTTGGCTGCGTGACTGTTTATTTTTATTACCGCAAACAGTGAGTTTGAAACGCCGGACCAACAATGGCACAAGTAGTTGCCCAGACCAACAAAAAACCCTTCCCACCACAAAAACCAAAGCCAAGCCCGTAACTGTTGAATTGGTGTTGACGTGTAATTTAGGATAAGGAAGAGCAAGCTTCCCGCTAGGGTTTTCCCAAGGCTGTAAGCTTCCCAGGAACAGACTTCCGCAGAGCAGCTGATGATTTCTCACGTGAATCTTTTGGCCATAGCTGACCAGGAGCCACTGTGCCCCACTGTGCACCTTCTCGTCCCCCACTGCTTTCCTTCTGCAGCAAACTCCTGCACGCCGTCTATTATCACTGCCTCTGACCCCTCTCCTACTCTTCCTACTCTTCCAAGTTTCCTAGCATTCAATGGAAGCCGGCCTTCCTGTGTGATCCATTGAGGTAGTACAACTGGCACAGCCGCCCTCCGGAAACAACGGTTGCTACTTGACTGCTAGGACCAAGTGGCTTTCCGCATATCTTGTCCCAGCCGCTCTCTTTCTGTCTCCTTTCTCTCAAATTTTGCAGGGCCCAGAGTCAGATTCTTGGTCCCCCGCCCTCTCTCCCTTCACACCCTTGGCAGTCTCCTCTAAGTCTCAGGGTTTTAAATACCCCTCTCGATACTGGCAACTCCCACATTTTGATCTCCAGCCAGACCCTTCTTCTGAATGTTGGATTCATATGGCCATCTGCACGCTGATGTGGAAGACTTATCTTAAGCCAGGCATGCCCAGAGCCATACTCAGACTCTTCCCCTCTGCCCTGGGCTACCCGCCAATGCTTTTGTTGTTTTGTTTGAGTTCACTGTGAAGTGAAGGTTTACCGCACACATCAGCTTTTCATTCAACCAGCCATAGACACGTAGTTTCATGTCATGGGTTGCAATCCCCACAATGTAACACCACTTAGCCCACTTCTTCCAGTGTTTGTTGTTTCCACCCTCTCTTCTTTCCAAAAGCTTTGGACTGTGTCATTGGGTAAATGCTGCCCCTTTGATCGGAAATGGCTGATGATTCTAAGGTCTGCGTGGCTACCTAGCGTTATTATTCCCCTTATAGAGCTATTGTTCTGGCTGAAAATTGAACCAACAAGGTGGTTCCGTTCCAAACCTGAAGAGTGGCTAAGGGTCATCGTCTGGTGGGGGAGTGGGGGAGACTCTATTTGGCCAACAAACCTGGTCTCTTCCTGAGTTCTGTTCTACATTTTTTCTCCCACTCTATCCAGGACCTTCTAATGGGATCCTTTCAGGTAACAGTAGCCAGCCACCATCTATTCTGGTCTTAGAGTCATGGCAGCTACTGTGCATGCACTCCATGACTAATTGTTTTCCTGTGTTAATTTTCAACACTCTTCTAAACAAGGGGAGAGACACCAGCTGCAGCTTTTGTGCCAAGATTGCTGTCCAAACCGTCCAGTCCCTGCCAGGGCACCAAGCCTGGTCATATTTCCAAGCTCCTTGCTGGTGTGGGAATAGGATAGGCAGGAGCACGGTGGTCTTCTGTAGACCTGCTTCCGGCAACCACTTTTGTACAGTGGAACAGCCATTGGGTGGCCACGTTCTCATTTCCCAGTCCACCTGTAAGTGGATCATGGGCGTCCTCTGCTAAATGTTCTGCCCAAGTCCCTCTAGGAAGCTGCAATCCTGGGAGCTTGGTTAGCTCAAGTTCCACTCTCACTAGGTGTCAGCTGGACTTGATGAGCATGAGAAATTAGTTTCTATTAGGGAAAGTCACTGACTGTAAGGATGTCTTCCTGTGATGGCTGCAGTAACCTTCACAAACATGTGACAAACCAACCTTTCAGGGGCCAAGGCTCAAACCCTGGAATCCCCTAACTTCCCTTGCTCTCGGAGTCATGTCTAGCCTGTCAGTCAACCCTGAGGGCCTCCCTTTAGATTGATGTAGACTGAACCACTTCTTCCCAGCTCAGTTGCCCCCTCGCCCCAGCCTTTCGGCCTGTCATACATTGGCAGCAATCCTTGAAACCAGCAGTTCTCAACCTGTGGGTCAAGACCCCTTTGGGGGTCAAACAACCCTTTCACAGGGGTCGCCCGATTCATAACAGTAGCAAAATTACGGTTATGAAGTAGCAACAAAAATAATTTTATGGTTGGGGGGCGGTCACCACAACATGAGGAACTGTATTAAAGGGTCGAGGCGTTAGGAAGGTTGAGAACCACCTCTTTAAACCGAATCCTGGAGCCTTGATGGTATAGTGGGTTACATATTGGGCTACTAACCACAAGGTCAGTAGTTCAAAACTATCAGCCACTCCAAGGGAGAAAAATGAGGCTTTTTACACCCAGAAAGAGTTACGGCATATCTTGTCTCCCAACTGTGAATCCTTGGAAGCCATCTTAACCTTGTGCTAATGGGCCCCCTCATCCAAGTGATGTCTGTATCTTTGGGTTCTTTATCTCTTTTAAGACATTAAATGTTCTCTTTAAATTAAAAAAAAAGGAAGAGTTACAGTCTTGTAAATCCACGGGGCGGTACTACCCTGTCCTATAGAGCCGCTATAAGTCGTAATCAATTCTAGGTGAGTTTAAACTTCATCAGACTATGTTGCTCTTTGGCTTCAATCCTGTACTAGTTCTTACCTTATTGTGACAGCAGCCTACAGG